CCTGACAATTCGCTTTGTGCATATTCTCTTACATATGATAAGTCAACATTGAAACACCTGCGGCTTTTAGTCAGGTGCGGCTAATGTATGTACAAAACAGGATTTTCCCCTGATTTTAGCTTGTGCGGCTAATATTCAGGTGCGCTTTGTAGTCCAGGAAATACGGTACTTTTTCAAAGTAACTTGCCCAACACTGCCAAATAGTCAAGGCACCTAACTGTAAACCCACAATTGTTAATCCCATGTTTCAATGAATGAGATGTTTAGTTTGGCTTTAGAGATACAGATAACTTTGACACAGGTGGTGCTGAATAGAGGAACTAATTCGGGAACGCCAAAGTCAGTCATAAATTCATAAATTCATTTCAGCCACTGGTGTTGGGGGTCTTGTAAAAGCTGATGGAAATGTGAATACTCCATGTAATACCATTTGGAGACCAACCAGTAACTGTCACTGACTTCATTTTTCAGCCCTCAGCCATGATGGGCTGCTAGAGTATTGTGTTGACTTTAAAGCTCATAAGAACTGAAAAAGTCCTGTTTGCCCAATATACTGTGTTACTGAAGTGATTTATGTTTCAGTTAATCACTGCATGCATTTTTCATTTCTCTAGCAAAATATAAAGAAATGAGGGGCATCTCAAGACTTTTGCACAGTACTGTGTATACGAAACGCTGATTAAATTATATGCCTGAATAAAATGAATTAAATATGTCCTCCCAAAACGGTTTTTTTTTCCTTCCACAAACAGATTTTTTTTTCTGCACAGCGGCAAAACAAAGTAGTTGCTAAGCAACTCAGGAGCAGCAGTGTGAGTAGTGACTGGGTCAACTCATTATCATTTTAAATTAAGTGTTTTGCAGCAACAGGGTTTTTTCTGGCTTTGAGTAGTGGCTCCCTGTTTGAAAGAGAATGGAATTCATTGTTTTCAAGAGGTCTTTGTGAATGTTCACGTGTGTGTTCAGGCATTTGTGAGAAACAAACACGACAAATGACCACGAAATGATGAATTAGAGGTTCCACAGAATCTGACAGATACGGAAGCTGAATTCAGTTTTATAATACAGGTATTAATTGGACATTCATGCATAGAATAATATGTCAGATGTATTCAAAATTGCGTATAGAATTAAGTGAAATGCCCTGTTTTTCTTTGGTGTGCAGTATATCTGATGATGCTAACCAAATGTGGATTTTGTTTTCAATTTAATTTTATATGAATCAAAGATTTAGCAATGTATAATAATATCCTACAGTCCAAAAACAGCTTTTTGATCTCATAGACAAAGACAATGTACTGTCAAGTCAGTCCACCATGACATTGGACAAAATCTAAACAAATCAAGCCATTAAAACTCAATTCCAAACATTAGAGGCTGTACAGGTGCAGTCATTAATACCATACACTAGGGCTGGGCAATATGACCCAAAATTCATATATCGATATTTTTTAAAAAAAAACTATATATCGCCCAGTCCTACCATACACTACAAATTATAATTGACTGTGAAGTCAATGACCAGTTCTTGAGGGGGAGGCTGCAATTGAAACAATCAAAAGCTGCTGATCCATTGACCTAGTCAAGCTAATTGATACGAATGGAATAGATGAGACTATCTTGAATGGGACATGGTTTGTTTCCATCACCTGAAGCATTTTAAAGCATCTGCACCTGAGATGATGTCGCCTGGCCTGGCGTACAGTGGAGTGCAACTGGCTCCCAGGCAAAATCAATAATTGTTTTATTATGTTTTATGCTTGTTATCAGTATAGTTGAACATACATGTGGTTGTTACCCTGCCAGATTAAACTTTAACTTGTGGTTAAGCGATCTTCATATTGACTAGCTTGCGAGATGTCAGTGCTGTCATTCCCAAAAGCCGCTGGGTTTCCTTCCACGCAACTCTGGGAAGAGTGTTTGTGTTTTCTCCCTCCGGTGAACAAGAGCTAACAATCACCACCCCATAAATCAGTGCCCACGCAGTGTCTACGCTCTCTTTGCTAAACTCACACAGTCTGCTGACCATACCCACCATCAGCACTCACACACAGACATGTAGCACTGTTTCTCTGTGCCCCTGCAGCTACTGTTGTTCACCCTTTGTCCTGTGATGAAAGTCTGTCTGGTGCATTTCACTCTGCGCTATTCCAGGGAAGCAGATTGTGTGTGTGTGCGTGTGTGTGTGTGTGTGTGGCAGCTTTGTTTGCTTCACTTTGTTTCCTCCAGCATACAGCAGTCACCAGTTATGGACAATGAACTGCACAAGCACAGTTATCTGGTCAGACAGGTCAAGTATGTCTGTGTGAAAGAATTATTCAAACTGTTGCAGAAAGCCGCGCTTTATCAGAACAAACGTAGGCAGGGGAAAACAAGCAGCGACCTCAGCTCGTGTTTTTATGGCCTTTACGACGCTTAATGTGTGATTTAGGCTCAGTCTCGTTTCCATTTTAGTTTTTATCACTATGATCACAAAGCTGGTTGTTAAGGAGCAGTTACGCATTACGGTTTATATTCACCGTTACCACCATAATACATACTTGGACTAACGGTAAAAAAATGGAAAAGTGCTGCTGGTAAGAGGCAGATTAACTTCCATGTGAAATTTCTTTGATTTAATGATTAATATAAGGGGGAAAAAAGCCAAAGTTGGCAAGCGATCTCTCTGAACACTAGGGCTGGGCCATATTATACCGTTCACGGTAATACCGGTATAATGTTAGGCAACGATAGGAAAATGAAATATCGCGATAGAATGGGAGTAAAACGCGCATGCGCAGTGCCTTTGTTTTCATACGCACATGGCCGATTGTTGAGTGAAACAGATGAACCAGAATTGGTTTGTAAAAATGGTGCAACTTCCGTGATGTGGAACTGGTTTGGTGTTTGTCCGTCAGATACACAACAAAGCACATTTTTTTGCAGAACATGCAAGCGGCCGTCGTTATTGTCGTATTTGTCGGACTAAGATGCTCTTAAATCTGGGAGTAATCTGGGTCCTAAACTCCGTATATTTGACTTCAGGTCAAACAACACTGCAGCATCACTGAGCGTTAAAAACTGTCTCAATTCTTTCATCTTTAATAAAACGATCAGCATTGCTGCTTTACCAGGTGTAACTATAAAGTTTAACTTCCAGGCATCCATGAAAACAAAAGTTATTACATTTAACGGAGTTAGAAGTTAGCAGGAAGCTAGCGGAAGTTAGCTCGCTAGTTTTGCTAGTTACCTAAGCATGATATTGCATGTTCTGACTGAGAGATTTCTGAAAAAAATCAAACGTACAGCTCTGCTATCACTTCCAACATAAATGAAGACAGGAAACTAAACAGCAGTGACGTTTGTAGGGTTACTGAAGTTGGGCTAGCTGGTATATAATGATGTGCTACGTGATCGCTAGCGACACAGCTATATTAGCATACCATAAACAGTGAAGCTGGAGGACGAACACTAACACTTTTCCACTTATAAAAGTTAACGTTAAGGTTCCTGATGGTTAGAGACAAATGCAATCGCATGGCAGGATGCTGTAAACGGACCAAACTTCAGTCAGGAGAACAACTGAGACAATCCATCCACAATACGAGGTTAGTCATTAATATACTGCAACAACATGGGAATAGAGCAGCTGCCAGAGAATTCAACATTAATGAATCAATGGTACAGAAGTGGAGGAAGCAAGAAGAATGAGTTTAATCAAGTTTGATTTATCTGACTGCTTTGTTTTGCTTAATGTGCCTTATAATCCCGTGCACCTTATGGTCCGAAAAATGCGTAATGCACACTGCAGTTTAATGTTGCAAAGCACCTCTTTTTAACTTCAGTGGATATTATACATGTTATGCTCAGGATATGTCAGCCCATTTCTACTGGAAATGCCTTTTGGTTAAACTTTCAGCAAGGAATTTGCATTTGCACTGTCACATTTTTATAAAGCTTTAATGTACATAAAAACCAGCTTCTTGTTTAAGTGAAAATAAATGGAAGGTTGTCTTTTTGCGCTAGTAATGTTGTGGAGTTGTATTTTGTCTCGCATCAATTATATCGTCGGTTATATCGTTATCGCAAATTTTCAAATATATATCGTGATAAATATTTTTGGCCATATCGCCCTGCTCTACTGAACACTGATGGGACCTGAGATTATGGTCCAAGCCCATCATATCGTCCATGCTAACCGCTCTAGACTCATAATTCACTAACAATAGTATCCACCTTGGTTGCAACAAAGACAAACGTGGTGTTTCAACATGAGAATGATTGGAAAATTAATTCTGTAGTCCTCAAATTTATTTTCCTTTTATACCCTTTGCTATTAATTCCCATACTGCTACAATTTAGATTAAAATAAAAATAAAGCTCTGAAATTCTGAGCACTAGTGTATCACTAGATAATAACTCTGGGCACAAATGCCTTGTAATGTTTCAGGAAATAGAAGGAAACGAGGCTTTTCTTGGATTTATAATGCTCTCTGTGAGGTTATGTTCTCATCTGTCTTGCATTATTTCATAGTTCAATACAGAATATTCCCCGTGGATAAAACTTTTCTTTCTCTGCCCGCCTGCTCCTCCCGTTTTCCTCTTGTTGTTGTCGGTGTCCTGATGAGAAGCTGTTCGATATTTTACGTTCAGTTTTGTTGCAGGGAGAAGCTCCCACTGCACTCTGAGCTGAGGACTATTATGTTGTTTGGCACTGCTGAGCTTGTCATCCCAGTCAGTATTCTCACTGGTTCAGATGGGTTAATTGGTTTTGTGCTGTGAAGAGTGTCACTGGGTTGCCACACACACGTGGGGATGTGAAAAACACAGCTCTGGAGTGGGATAGAGCCGGAATTCTCTAACACACTTTTCTGTTTATTTAATCCTGTGTGCATTTAGCAAGTCACGGGATGTTCAAACCTGGCACTTTATGTGTGTGGCTAGCCTGGAAGATTTGAAGTCATTTTAATACTTCCTGTTGTATTCCAATATATGCTCAACTGTGCCTTTGTGTCTTTTAGGTCTCCAGTGATGGCAGGTGGACTGTTTGCTGTCGACAGGAAGTGGTTCTGGGAGCTCGGGGGATACGACACCGGTCTAGAGATTTGGGGAGGGGAGCAGTACGAGATATCCTTCAAGGTAAAAAAAAAAAAAAAAAACAAAAAAAAAAACAATTTAAAAAGAGAGAAGAGTGCACACAAGTGCAGTGTAGCGTCGAAAATAATCAATAAAATCACTTTGACGTCCGTGAAGAAAGCTGACTTGATTCCCAAGACGTGTTGGTCCTGGTTTAATGTTTGGATTCAGGCATTTCAGTTTGGTACTGAATATACTAAACCCAGGGTTATGAACCGTGTGTGTGTGTGTGTGTGTGTAAGCAGAAAATGACAGCACTGAAACCTCAGTCATGCTTGTCACTGACTCATGATCTTGTAAAAATTGCTTTTTTCCTATTATTTAAAAATTTGTATCCAAAAGTCACATGACTAATAAGTCATAATAAAACTGTATAGAAGTGATGACATCATTCTTGGCAAAGAAATTCATTTGAAATTGAGATTACAGTGTTGAATCATTCTCTAGTATTTTGGTGCAAAATCTCCCTTATGCATTCAGCTGGGTTGAGATTTAGAGACCATGAAGGTCAAATTGCATAATTCACATCATTTCATAAACCTCAAGCCATCCAGTGAGCCCTGGTGCCCTCGGATTACCTGTGTCCTGTTTCGTCATAGGATAAAGATGATCACGCTTCTAAGAGGACCCAAAATGCTTGCTGTCAGAGCGCCTCAGAACTTTTATGGTTTTCTTGTGGAATTCCTTTGACCTGCCAGTTTTTAACAGACAAGTCAAATCATCCATTACCAGGAAGCAGTGGTGATTCAGGAGACTGGGGTCAGTAAGAAAACAACAGTTAGACTGTATGCTGTCTAGCTTTTTGCACATCCTCTAGCACTGAGAGTGGGCAGAGGAAGTGGTAGAAAGTATAGTCATCTGCAGTGACTCAGTGTTGCTGTCAAAGATTAAAGCCGAATAAGCCCAAAATCACCAACAAGTATATGAAATACTGTTTACTGATTCAAGGTTAGCCTGTGAAGGGGAAAAATTTGAAGTTCATGTGAGTACTGACATACTCAGAAAGCAGACACACTGGAAAAAAGAGGCTGTCAGGAGAGAATACGTGTTCATGGAGATATTGTCAAATTTGATGAAAATCAGAGAGCAGAGTGTTCAGAGGAAATGGGAACAGTAATGGCAAGGTGCAACAAAAGGAGAGGGTGGGGGGGATAATATCAGAATCAACAGGAAAGACCACGTCATTGTCACTAAATTGAGAATTGGTTACAGTCACTTCAAGAGATGTCAATGTCAGGAAAAGAGACGAAGGAGAGAGCTTGTGAAGAGAAAACAGGCGAGAACAGGTTAGAATGCATTAGAAAGCAACTGGACTAAATAAAGACTGAAATAGAAATGGGCAGACCTGGATGAGAAGAAGATAGTTGCACAACTTAAATTGCTGTAAAGCTATTAAGAAAAGAGGTCTTGTTGCTAAGTGCAGGAGTAAATGAAACATTTTTCATTTTTCCTGAACCACCTCCTTCTTAATAAGCGCTTACTGATTTTAATGCTCATATGCTCAGCATTACTATATTTTGACATTAAACAGCTTTTAAAGAATTTTGGTCCCATGTGCTTCCCTCTCTTTGGTTTTCCCCATATCTCTTTAACTAAGCAGCTAAAAGACTTGTAAAGCAAATGGTGCTTCCCTCATTGTGGTTTCAACTCATGAGCCAAATATAATCTGTTGCATCTACGACTCTCCACATTAATCATACTCAGAAGTCCCTATTAGATTATGTTTTTGTCTGGTACTTCACCATGAATTATTCTACAACACAGCCATAACTGCTTGCGACTTGGCCAGTATGTTAAGCAGTGGTCTCCCCCTCCTCTCTGCGTGCGCCGGACAGACAAAACGGCCCGTCACAATAATTGAATTCTGGTTTGAATGAGTAAGGACTTTTGTCGTCTCACTCAATTAGACACAAAGGCCACTGCTGTGTAGTTTGATGAAATTGGACATATGCTCCTGTGTGATAGTACTGCGATTGTTCCTTAGAGTGAAATTTCCAGCACAGAGGCATTGTTGTTTATACAAATTGAACACCTAAATCTAATTTTCCATCAAAACAGTTTTACTTGTGACTGCCTCTTCATATTAACATAATGCCATTTTGCTATTGATACGGAATAAGAGAAATTTTAACGTATGCCTTGCATGAAATGTTGCCTATGTGAAAAGTTTTACTTTCACATAGGCAACATTTATGACCAAAGGGAAAAAAAAATTTTTTTTTACATCATTATATACATAGATTTACAAATTTATTAGAGCATCTGTCATAAAAACAAGGGAACACTATTAGTTAGTATACTATACAGAAATATTTCAAACATGTTTAAGACTAAAATTGTTACTATTTATTATATAAAACCAACTGAGTTCATATTCTTATAACTAAACTTGAGCCAGCATACTGGATGTCTCTGAGAAGTTGGAAATTAATCAAGCGTAATCTACTAAAACTGATTTTTAGATGAGTAAATAACTAATCTGGTCAAATTCATGGATAACAACAATTTTGAGCTTTTGCAAACTGCTGGATTAGTAAAGAGCAATATTGTTAGTTTAGGACAACCGTGGCATACATTTTAGATGGTGGTAATAATTTTGTAAACCAGCGGTCCCCAACCTTTTTTGTGGCACGGACCGGTTTATGTCCGTCATGGACCGCCCTTTAAGGTGTCGCCGGATGAAAATACAAGCAATCATACGCTTCCTTTCAGGTCGCGCTACTATCAGCTTACATATGCGAGAAACAACAGAAACAACATCAACATCAATTATTTATTATTAGCTATTTTTATAGATTGAGCATTAGTTTCAGTCCAAATAAATCAACCATTTTTTTTCTTTTTTTTTTATTTTTTTTTTTTCCACATCTCCCACAAGTTTTTGGTTAGGTTCCTGAATTTCTTTCAGTGCTAAACATAAGCTGATACTATAATTTTGCATCAATAATCTCTTTGACTTATTTGCCCAGTTGCTCCGGTTGTCCATAGTTGCTTTGCAGACCTCAACTTGTCTGCAAACACTCACCAACTACTGGCCAAGCAGCAGTGGAACATGAGAAACACTTGAAATCACTCTGGTCAGTGTTCGCAAACAAGCTGGTGTCTTTCATGCAACTAGATGCAAACTTGGTCGCCATGATCACTTGCAGATCTCTGGGCCTGAGTGATGGAGGCCTAACAACTTAATGTCATCATACAGAGCCTAATCATGGGTTCTTTCACTTGCATCAACATCTCTTTGACTATAAATTTGTAGTTGCAGTTAAATGCTATCAAATGCAAGTTCAACACTTACCTTTTATCTATTGGACGTCACTACGGAATAACAAGAAAAATACTCCAGCTAAATGACGCACGAGCAAATTCAAAAGCACAATAATAATATACAGGGAGAAGCTAAACAATAAGGCAAAGGGTTGCTCTTAGGAGTGGTTGATCCATATGAACACTAAGAAAGGTCAAATGTTAAAAATAGTGCTGTCATCTCATTAAAATGACGTTTATGAGCTAACTGCGCTAACGCGTTGACACCGTGCAGCCCCACACGCGGGGCGATCTGCAGTAACTCTCTAACAGAGATTTGCCGCATTAATGCGGTTATGGCATTAACGTCATGTTAACGAGATTAATGTTGACAGCACTAGTTAAAAATAAAAATCCTTCAAAGATAAAGTGGGTTTAGTCTTTTGTTACTATTACATTACAGCGCTCCATGTTTTAGAGCCGCTGCATGCAGGAGACTGCAGCCTCATTGTTCTTGATACCGGTCAGAGGCTTGTAACAACCGCAATCAGTCGGATCACATGGTTGTATTACAAAACCTGTTTTTAAACAAACAAAATCATAAAGACTTTGTTTGATTCTAGCTATGCTACCATGTAGCTACAGCCAAGATAACTGCCACGTTTCTTACAAAATGCTGTTGTTGTTTCGTTCTTCTGACTGCTATCCTAGCCGTCGGTTATCTTTTTCACCTCAGTTTCTCTTTGTTCTTTTCAAGCTTGACTCTTGTCGTTGTTGCCCTCCCAGTTCTGTACATGGGTCTAGGTGTGGCTGTTGTGCCTTGGTTCATTTTAAAAAAACACAGTTCATTTGAATTCTGACATCAGCAGCATCAAAACTTGCTGCTGATCAGCAGATGAAGAGCTGTGGTTCAGTTTTCAGTTTAGAGGTGGTCTAAAAACAAATGTAGGAGGAAAAAATATATGAACTCACAACTTTAAACCATTTGCTGGCTGATGAACACTGCTGCCCGGCTGACAGCTGTGAAAGCTTGAAAGGAGTTTTATGAACCACACACACATTTTCTGTGCATCAGGCTTTACTAGCAGACACCATTCATCTTTAAATAAATGCGCCGTTCATTTTTTGCTTAATTGGGCAAGCAAACTCTGCATGAAAGGTTAATGGATTTAGTGACTAAAGCTTTGAGTTGGTAACAGGAAGATTGAGAGATTCTTGGGTGAGATTAGTTTTATTTGGACTAAAAAAAGAGACTCATTCTTCCATCATACTGTTGTTGCTATAGCGTTTCCTTCCCTCTTTGTCCTTTTAAATGAAAAGACATCAAAGCCCTTCAAGAGACATTTGCAATGCTGATTTGTTAAAAATAATTTAAGAGCTACATTGCTTTCATCCATGTTTACTCGTTTGCATTCTTTTCCCGGGTCTTTTTTGTTGGTATGCTAGATTTCTTGTCATCTTCTCCTAAAAAACATCGATCCGTAGCACCACTGCAGTTGGAGTGCAGAGCCAAAATATCTTCTTAATACATTAAGAAGGATTCCCTTTCTCTCATTAAGGTAACCATTCCTCACTTTACTTTTCAGATGTAAGTTAGTGCCAAAAGTCAGGTATAATCAGATTGATTATGTGTATGGAATTAAATTATTATGCCAGTGTAATTGCATTCTATAATTTGTTTTTGAAAGGAGCTATATAAACAAGATGGTACTTTAAAAGGACACAGCTTTTAAAGCTGCTCTGGGCCGCCGTGCTGTGGTTTCTGGTGTTCATGTTTTGAGGCGAGCAGATTGTAGAGGTTGAGGTGTTAGAGGTGAGTGATAAGACTTTTAATTTAATCTGACTGCCACTGAACCCGAGCTCTTGATCCCTCCTGCGGTGGGGCGCCCCTGTTATTAAGCTCAAGTGCTTCAGTGCAGGGATAAAGGGGATGGAAGGCACCAGTGCAGCAGGTCAGACTTTTCCCCCCTACAGCACAGTGTGGAGAGGGTAGATTCAATCTCTTATTTCCCCCGATTCTGTTTGTCCAAGCTGGAGCGATGCAACAAACTTGACAAGGAGTAATTGAATTGAAATAGCAGCCAGCTGATGTCCACTCTGGAGAATCGGGAGGGGAATGAGAGTATAACAACATTCAGGTGGGAAATTATAATTTTGCTCTCGTTACTATATGCCTGAGCTTAAATACAGCCTCTATCTTCATCACCAGAGAGGTTTCTTTCAGAAAATGTCTTGACCTTCAGCCGAAGGCAAGGAAGACTTTTCTAGATTAAAGTGTCTGAATTTCAAATTGTATAAAGACAGCATATTATGACTGTTATATCATCAGACGTTCAGGCTTCAGAGGTTCAAGTCACGACAGAAGTAGGAGGAATGCAAGATTTAGGCGGATATGGAGGACAGTGTGCTGTAAAGGTCATGGGAGGTTTTGGTGGAGATCTCATATAAAGTACACTCAATAAAATCTTACATAAATCTTAAATCCTGATTTAAAGTAGATGTATTTTAATCTGGCTTTTAGACAGATTTTGATCTTCTTCCCTAATCTCCTGAAATGCTTTGTCCATAATATTCATAATCAACTAGTATGTAAGCCTTAAACTGGCTAAACGGGCCAAATATTTATTGGTATTTCATTCACTGGTATTGATGTTAGTTTTCTAAGGTGCTATGAAAATGAGTTACACTAGTTTGTTTGGAAGAGCAGATTTTTGCATGTCTATATATAGACGAGAACACCTCTACAACCCACATGTCCCATCCGATCTCCTTAACTGGAACATCTAATTCCCAGTAGCTTGTGGAGAAGTCAGCAGCACACATTTCTAAGTAACATGTTGTAGCCTAAACACATCTGTATTGGATATTAGTTTGATCGTTATTGTGCAGCACACTGTGTTAATGTTTCAGCTGAATCTTTATTACTTTTTTTCTTGCATATTTTATCGACACGTTTATCTGTTAGTCAGATTGTGTTTGTGCATAATTGAGACTTAGATTAAGATCAGACTACATTTTATGGTTGATACCAAAACTCTGATAATTAGGTGGTAATTAATTAATAGGTGGTAATAATTAATTTCTTTCAACTGTTACACGTCTGCATCATTCAGCTAAATAAAAAAACGGGTTGACATCAACAGCACACTGAGAGAATAAATTCAAAGCTTGTAATGTAAAAAAGATAATCCCGAACTCTTTGGGGTCAAAAGTTCATATAGTCAAACTTTTGACCCCAAAGTCTTCTCATTAATTTAAAGTGTCTAATCACTTAAATTCTAGTTTTAAATTACTAGATTTTCACACCCTGTAGACTTGAAAGGTAGCTCTGCTTTTGCTAAGTAGCATACCAAATCCAATTTGAGTCTTTGTCATTTAGCTAAGCATGATTGACTTGTCTCATTCTCTTCGGTGTAATTTCCTCTCTTTGGTCTCTGAAAAAAGTTCATGTGTTTCTAGATTGCACAAAGTTCTATCACCTCTGCAGTCCTTTATAAAATAGGATCCATATCTGTAGTTCTTTGAAGTTTTCAACTCTCTTTGTGCTACTTGAACCTGCTGCTTTTGTTCCTCTCTCCAGGATTTCATGACCAAGTCAGCATACCTTGCACCCCTGTGCGTACCCTATACAGTCCCTACCCTTCTTCAGTTTAAAGGTCCCTCTCCTACTTCTCCCATTTATCCTTTTTTTTCCTTTTATGTTTTGACCTTGTCTACTCTCAGTTGCTTTTTCCTGGTCGTGTCTTCCCACATTTTGTCTTTCTCACATAGTTTCTGTTTCATCTCGGAAATGTTAACCTCATCTGCCCCTCTCAATTCCAGGCTGTTCAGTTACACAAATTCACTCTCAGATATGATCTTTATCACTGCTGAGTCCCCGTCTCTCTCTCTGTAGGTGTGGATGTGTGGTGGTCGGATGGAGGACATTCCTTGCTCCAGGGTTGGGCACATCTACAGGAAGTATGTCCCCTACAAAGTTCCTGGTGGTGTCAGCCTTGCCAGGGTAAGTCTCAGATCTGTCTTAAGCATTATGGGAAAGCTTGATGTTTTCCATTTCTGGTGCCTTGTATTTGTTCAGTGACCTCATGGTGAAATGTCTTGCCTTGTGCAGAGGTGTCGGTTAGGAATTTCTCACCTCAAAAACCCTTTCTTCTCTTTACTGTCCAAACAACAAAAGCCAATGCGCTTTGGAGTGCCACAAACATAATAACCAGTCAGTCTAGGTGGTGCTGAGCAGAGTGTAATGAATAACTACACAAAGTAAATGCAAAGGAAATCCATTAGTTTCTTTAATATGAAAGGAAACAAAATCCGAATCAGGTTTAAATAACTAAATATCAGTATTAGTCTTAATAATGCTGCATTGGTTGGGCTCTACAGATGTTGTGTGAAAATCTATAATGTGTATGACTTCAACTTTGGTCTCTAGTGTGAGTGTTAAACTCCTTCCAACCTCCAAAAGTGGATTTCTTCACGTCTCCGTCTACGCGCAATATTGATGTGTATTTGGACACAACTCGGTAAACAACAGACAGACAAAAATCGTGATCAGGGACATTAAATGTTGGGCCATCGCATAAAAACTGTTACACTGATTTGTGTTTTTGTGCATGAATGTATTAAAAGTTGCAGCTATTTCACAAACCCTGCTTTCGAACTCGGTTGACATGCATGACCTCCACCTGTTTCTTCATTTAACTCCATCTCAAAGTTCTTCATTTAAGTCTCTCAGTGAAATGGGGGAATGATCGTTGCCATGCACACACAAACATCAGCAGCCTGTGATTACTGCACTGATGGTGGCAGTTGGATACTTTTAACACATCGCTCAACCCTTCCTGGGAGGTTGCAGAAGCATTAGCATTAACAACTCCTATCTGTGACTGGGCGTAAAAACCCGATTACTATCCAAAATCTACCATCTACTCAATACTGAAGGCTAGCATTACATGAAAAGACCACTGAATTGCAAGCCGCTGTGAGTGTGATGCAGGCTTTTAGCAGCTTTTGTTTCCTTTACTTTGCATTTCTAAAAGTTGTCACCTACACACACAGCATACAACTTAGGGGAGCTAATTATGAGAAAATTCTTTCTTTATTCTATGGCAGCTTTAACACTGTGAAACAGTATGAGAAGTGTTAAAAATGGCTTTCTGGCCTGTAGCTGAACATTATTCATTATGCATGACTCAGCCTCATTCTGACACCTGGCTCTGTTTGGCTCAGATGAATATGTAATTAATCCCTTTGGCCTCGGTTTTTGCCTTCTTGGTCTGACCATTAGCCCCACAGTGAGGCTGTATTGAATACTGATAGCAAACAAACAGGCTGGTTTTAACAGTATAAAAGTATTGACTGTACCTGGGGCTGTTATGAATCTGGTTTTTGTTGATTTCTCTACTAGTTTACAAAGAATCAAATAATAATACAGGTTTTTATTTACTACTGACTTGCCCCATTAGACTAGATGAATTAGCGCGATCTTAGGTCAAGATAACTCTGAACACCAAAGGCTCTTTTTGTACCACACAGTGATGGCTGAAGTCACTGACCAACTGTTGTATTTCATTTTAATTTTTAATTTTGGTATTAGCTGGTATATTTTATTTTGGCCATGGCTTATTGTAAAAATGTAAATAATATAACAAAAAATCTTCATGTTCGGCATGTATGGCTCTTCATTTATATCTGTTTTCAAACACACCTGATAGAAGATCTGACGGAAAAAATGTTAGGAAGAGTGGAAGGTGTTTTGTGTGTGTGTGTGTGTGTGTGTGTGTGTGTGTGTGAGAGAGAGATCTACAGAGCTTTTTTTTGTATGTCAGCTTGGGGGGAGAAAAGATTGGCATTTTCTTGTTTTGTTTTTTAGTATATTTTTTTTCTCCACATGTCATTATCATGTAAGTCATTTTTAAAATGACTTACATGATAATGACACAAAGCGCTGTCACACACAAACAGCACTTTAAGATTTACCTCTGTTTTGTGGACCTTAGTTATCAGTTCAGCTCTAAAAGCATAAGGTTGGTTAGCACAATTTACAAAGTGCTCTTAAGCTGTTATTTTTTGTTTTGTTTTGTTTACTTTTTATTTGTGATTTTTCTTTTTTTAAACATTGGTGTGAAAAACACTGACCAGTGTTTAATAGACACTGAATAACATCCTTATATAAGTAAATACTTACTGTACATGGCTGGCAAATTTGAGAGTGCCCAAGTCTCATTACTATATATATACATGTTCACTTCCACGGACATGACCCCCTCCAAATGACAGTAACAATCACTGAGCGTATTTTGGATCATTTGTGTTGTCCAGACTCTTCAGTAGGGACTGGGGGAAAAAAACAACAACAACTACAAAGAACTGCTTCTGTATATTTTATAATGGATTAGTGCTAAATTTATGAAGATAAATTTAGAAGTTCTAAATTTATGAGAATGTGTCAGTTGTTTTGGAAAACATAACTTCAAATATATCCTCCAACAAAACATTCAGAGAGATGGAGCTAGATGTTTATTTCTATATATCATATCAAAATAAATCAAGTCAACTCGAGCTCTAGTATGATCAGCAAAATGATGGAAAATTTCATTTAGCAGCACAAGTATAATGTTGTGTGAGGAACACAAATCAATAGATTAGTGCAGGGGTGTCAAACACAGCAAACATAATCACGTAATCAAACAGCCCATTGCATGACTTTGCAAAGTGTGAAAACTGCCAAGGAGGGCATAAATTTGCATTTTTAGCTGTGTTTTTGGCAGTTTCACAGTCGTCTTACTAACAGACATTTCTTATTTAAGATCATATTTGGACTTTATGTACCCCACCATGTAAAATGAGTTTGATAGCGCTGGATTAGAGCTTCGACTATTTCGCAAACATTCGACTTGTGCAAATCCACCCCTCTATCCCTCTGCTCACTGAAGCATAAAGTTCTCCTGCAACATGCAGGAAGACAGCAGACGGCTAACAATTCATAACCCCAAAATGTTAAATGTCACAATGTGACACCATAATATAAAATAACCAATCAAAACAGCAGGAGGTGGAAAAAGTTTAAGATTTTGTGTGGTAAAATTGCTGGGGGGGCGGGGTTGTCAATCTGATGATGTGCTCTGGCTTTGTGGGTAAATAGGGCATAAACTTAAACCACTATTGATTTCCCTTAGGTGGCTAAAATCCATTTTGTTGCTGACTGTGTCGTCAACGGTCCATGACTTTAGTTCCGGTGCCGGTCAATGCTCCCGTCTGCTTGGCAGCTTGACACCACCTGCTGTTGATGACACACTGTTTGTGGCTCTCACTTCAAAGCAACTGAACCAACCCCAACTGAGTAAAAAGAGTTTTCCCAGTAAAAAGCTTATCATTCTAAACATCCACCCTTTTCCCCCCCGCCACTTTTATCAAACTTAGGGTTGCAGGGAGGCCAGAGTCTGTCCCAGCTCCCATAGTGTGCGAGGCGGATACACCCTGGAGCAGTCACCAGTCCATCAGAGTGCCTTAACTGTTTCAGTTTTAATAGTAGAGATCTGCTGCACAAAATCCAGAATGTATATCTAGACATGCAGAACTAACGGACTGAAGAATTCCCTTAACAGGACTCAATAAAGACTTTGGTTTGTGTAAGGATTTAGTCATGGCTCACTAAGAGACACTTCTCCCGTGCTCTAAAAATCTTTTGCCTCAGGAAAGAATTAAACCTTCAAGACTTTTTTTTTTTTTTCATTTATGTTGATTTTTTTTTAAGTACCGTGGTGAGAGAAGCATTTCAGCAGGTACAGATAAAGAGAACAAAGGATCTCCAGACATATTTATAGAGTTTTGTGTGCACGTATGTGTGTGCACATCAGGGAATCTCAGCCCCCGCTAAGTCCAGTCGGCACACAGGAAGATAGAACCACTGAACTGCACTTCACCTAGGGAGCACAGAGCTTGAGTTTTGCTGCAGGCGATGAGCTTTGCTACAGGGATTTTATGTGTGCCTGTGTGTGTGTGGCTGGAAGCTTTTCTTCACTACATCTGTACCTCCGAGGGTTGGAGGATTTGTATTTATTCCTTCCTGGGAGGATTGCTGAACTTGTATTCTCATTCCTTTCACCATCCCTGCCTCCAAGGCTGCTACCATCTATACTCCCAGGCATGCGTGCGCACCCCAGAGGCTGACTCCTCAAAGGCTTCAGATGGATGGATTTCGCATTGCTCAGGCTTTTATGTTTGCAACTCAAAGCAGGCTTAAAGAACCTGTGTCAGATGTTGTCTGTGCTGCCATTACTGTCGCTCATTTTGCATCGGATTTCTCTCCTCCTCACCTGTTTTATGCCTCTTAGTCATGAATATTAATGCTCTTATAATGAGACAAAAAGGGTGGGGCTTTTTCTGTGAGCTTATGTCACTACATGTATAATTTAGTGGCCTAAATGTACAATAAATAATGCATTCTTTGTAGCTGATGTCTTACATTTGGGTGTTCTTGTTCATTTTAAGTTGCTCTCATTAGATCTTATAACAATCTCTGTTGAACGACGGTTCACAGTGGACATTGATGGAGTCCTTTACTCCTCTCTCAGATTCTCAAGACTTCTATTGTCCTGTGCACTTACTCCACCTACACAGAGAAGGGAAACTCTTTTGAGGATCCGAGTGTTCAATGTTGTACCAAGAAGTCCTGGAAGTCTTCTCGGGTGATTCGAGCTCTACTCGCATCTTGACATGTGTAGATTCTACAGTGTCTCTCAAATGATTCACATAATGACCAACATCTTAAGATATGGTAGGTCAGGAAATCTCAGTGCCTTGCAACCAGCACCATATGACAAATTTGACATGAAATTGACGACACCGCTACTGTCGTTAGCTGCTGTTTTCAACGGGTCGTGCACATCTTGATTTTTATAACCTGGCAGGTTGTGCCAACGGTGCGTTTGCCGAGTGCACAATCGTGCCGTGCACAATCGTGCCATGCACCTATCGTTCAGGCGAATAACGTAATGGATGTGGTTGTGCAATGATATTACCAGCACCACATGAAGCAACCAACACAACTCCGCTAGCAGTTAAATATCTGGAACTCTGTCGGCTTATAAAAACTAAAGAAGCATCTTGTTTGCCCAAACAACCTACATGGATATATTCTGTTTATTTGTTTTGTTTATGTAGCTTGCAGTAAGTCCATATTCTATTTTTTTTTCCTCCTTGGTTTTCTATCAGTATCTGATGGTTTAAAAAAAAAAAAATTGTTTTTCCTCATGATTTTAGCAATTATTTTTACAAGATGTGATCTTGTAAAAAGACATTAAATCAGACCTTTACGTGTTTCACTTTTTCAGAAGGGCTTCTTGTTTCGTAATCCTTATTTTTTATTCTCCAATACTTCCTTGCACTAAGAGTAGCTCTTAGTGATGAAATACCAAGAAAAGTCTTAAAATTACCACTTTTTCTAAGAATTTCACCTTAAGGTTGGGGTTATCGAAATGGTTATTCCCAAGGCATATTAGCCCTTAAATCTGGTTGGAGTGGTGACTTTGACCTTTGGGTTTCTTTAGGGGAGGAGAAAAGGTGGAGCCACTGGAGTGCATCAAAAGAAGATGCCCCCCCTCTGAGTAAAGAGGAAGAATGAATGCAGTTGGCATTTGGGTTTTTCTTTCCTGATAATTCATCTTTTCAATCTTTAGTGAATAATGTCATCAGTATATAAATATAAAATAAAAACAAGTTGAATTGACAAAGCAGTAATACTTAAGTGTGGATTCACAACATCAACTCACATTATGCATATTGCTCCTTTTCTTCTGTTAAAGCCAAGCCAGTCTCACAGCTGATTTCAGATTTTCTTATTTCATAAAGCTACAAAGAATGTTTCAGATCCATGTGTAATGTCATTAGAGACCTAATTAGGCGTAACAGCTTCCCAACACCAAGTATATTGAAAAAAGAAAAGAAACAGACAGTTTTTCATCCTTTATAAAGGCACCTTGTAAATTAGCACATAATTCAGTTCAGTGTTATATCTGCTTTCGTGACTAGAGACAAGGTACTTTTTTCATCTCTCGCCTCCCGGGGCACGATGACAGGTCCTGTATGATGACTGGCCTCCTTTCTACTGAGCGGCTTTGATCATTTTGTCATGTCAAATCAATCAAAACTTCAAGGGTGGCAGGATGTACAAATGATGGCTTTGTTTGTTGCAGTGAAGACACGATGCCCAGAAAGGCAGGAATTTAGCTAACAGGCCAGCTAACTGTAAGACTTTAAAGCAGATTTTATTTATTTATATATTTATTACAAATATTTTCAGACAGCAAAAGCAGAAAAAAAAAGGCATAGGGGAGAATATTAAATGTGCTGCACAGCGTGACAAAACTAACACAGAATCTCAGATAGCTGTTCTGCAGATTACGAGTCTGGAATTAATCTAAAGGGAATTTCACCACTTTGATGATCAAACTGGTGGTTGGTTAGGGAATAGACGCAAGTACAATTGGTCCAGTTTCTCATTAGATGACTTTGAAAAACTGAAACTTCACAAATATTTAAATTTCTAACATATTTCATGACTTTTTATCAATGCATTTATCATAAAGAAAATTCATTAGATTTCTTCACCTATTTGCAGCTTTTGTGAAATCTTTCATGGCTCTTTTATGGAACAAAATATATTATTGATTTACATATGGTAAGATGGTAAATATATTAGAGGGTTACCTGCACAAACAAAGCCTGGAATATCCATTAGTAACCAACTAGTAGCCACAAAGGAATGTAATGTGCATGTGGACACTTGTTGCAGCCAATAGCCCAAATTGTAATACACTGAAACAGCCACGTTATTAAGAAAAAAGAGGAAATATTGGCTATAAAGGCTTTAAAGACAAAAACAACTTTCTCTACCTGAAAGTTGTTGTAAAGTTAACTTGGGCGTCTTTGAAGTAAAACTCTTAGTCTCCCACAACATTTTGATGAGATGTGATGCAGGAAAATGCTCCATTTTGTTGATGTTGGACCTCCGCCTTTGATACTGTGAACCATCATGTTCTGCTAGATAGGCTAAGACACTGGCTGGGTATATCAGGGTCTGCTTTGGAGTGGTTTGAATCTTATTTGCATGAACGATCCTTTTCTGTGGCTACCTCTGAGTACAGTTTCTCTTCTACTTTTCTTGCCTATGGTGTGCCACAAGGTTCCGTTTTGGGGCCTTTATTGTTTTTGTTGTATTTACTTCCTCTTCAGCACTTATTGAGCACTTTTAAGGACATTTCTTATCACTGCTATGCAGATGATATTCATTTATATATCTCCTTTAAGCCCAAGATGTTTCCATGCTACAGATTTTGCATAAGTGCCTAGACTCCATTAGAGGTTGGATGGCTGAAAACTTCGTTCAACTAAATGAGGGGAAGACTGAAGTCCTTGTTTGTGCTCCTAAAGGATTTGCATCTAGTGTTATGGAAAACTTGGGTCCACTTGCTACATTTGCCAAACCTTCTATCAGGAACCTCGGTGTAACTTTTGACTTTTGAATTATAAATTGTCATTCATGCATTTGTTTCATCTCGTCTGGATTATTGTAATTCTTTGTTTGCTTGTTTATATAAAGCCTCTTTGGAGCATCTGTAAGTTGTTCAGAACGCTGCTGCAAAGCTTCTGACCAAGTCCTCCAAGTACTCCCATGTCACACCCCTGCTGATTCAGCTGCACTGGCTCCCTAATAAATTCAGAATCCACTTCAAGGTTTTGACCTTGACATTCGAGGCTCTGCGTGGACAAGCACCAACATATATCAGGGAACCTTTACATCCATACATTCCCAGCAGGTCCCTGAGGTCATGTGATTAGGGCTTGCTGGTTGTCCAACACACGAGGCTGAAAACTAAAGGCAACAGAGCTTTTGTAACTGTGGCCCCTAGACTGCGGAACTCTCTCCCTTTGAGCCTTAGATATGTGGATTCGGTGGTCTCTTTTAAAAACAGCTAAAAACGTATCTTTTTAAACTTGCCTTTGGTTGATTTTTGTTTTTATGTTTTAGCTTCTGTGAAGCACTTTGTTTTGGGGTTTTTTTTCTTGAAAGGTGCTATATATGTTTTTATTATTATTATTTTTTTTTTACTTTTAACTGCATTTCCTGCATTACTTGATTGTCAACCAAAGAGGCTGCTGTCTGATGAGCCAATTCAGGCACTACATACACAAATCACTGCTGTCAGTCAGTTTGTGACAGCTTAGCAAATTGGGGTATTTGTTGGTCCAGTTCGTGCAGAACTTGATCATGTAGTTGTGTAAGAAGCAGAATTTGAAAGAAGAATTTACTGCATATACAAAGAACTAACCTGATGGTAGCAAAGTTATTCTGTGAGCCTCGGCTTTTGCCAATAAATGAACCAACAACATTTTTATAAATATAGTCATTTATTTGATTGGTGTGAAAACTTGATTTCTGTTGTTCTGACAGTTAACAGTGTGAAATGTGGTCTGTAACTGTAGAGTTAACTGAGAAACCATTCTGATCTCAGAACCTGAAGCGAGTAGCAGAAGTGTGGATGGACGAGTACGCCGAGTACATCTACCAGCGCAGGCCTGAGTACCGCCACCTGTCGGCAGGAGACATGACTGTGCAGAAGGAGCTGAGGAACCGGCTCAACTGCAAGAACTTCAAGTGGTTCATGAGTGAGGTGGCCTGGGATCTGCCCAAGCACTACCCACCTGTGGAGCCTCCTGCTGCTGCATGGGGAGAGGTACAGTTGCTCTTATCCTCTAATTAAAGGCAGCCTAATTGAAAGATGGAACTAGAGCTACCAAGAAATGTGTGTTAGAAAGTCATGACAGTGAGTACTTTGAATATGTAATGTGAAGCTATTTTTTTCTCAGCTTCATGTAGTTTATTTTTAAAATGCCACTTTGTGTGCCAGAGGTTCAGTCTAAAGATAGTTGGTCTTGTTACTGGTGTCTTAAGCAAATTCTTCCTTTTCTCCTTTGGTATGGCAGGCCAAAAGATAAGAGTAATTACCAGCGGTTTCCTCTAAAATAACTCAAGAAGCTGTCAGAAATTCTCTCCATTTGGCTCTAATATTCCTATCTGTCTGTCATACCAGACTGCTGTCTGGAGCTGTGGACCGGTTACACTCAGTGCATGAATTTAATTAGAGCTTAATTGCAGTGTTCTTGCCTCCTGAAATAACCCAAACTAATGGTGTAATACTACTTGAAGCTGCCTGATGATTTTTTTTTGCATTATATTCTTTGTGATTTTGGTAGTTAAGAAAACCTCTGATCTCTGTTGAAGATGTACAACTCTTATTGCCTGAATAACGTCTTTCTGCCGTCTTTCATGCTTATGTGACTCTGCTCTTATGTGTGTTTTTTGGTGAAGATCCGTAACGTGGGTAGCAGCATGTGTATGGAGAGTAAACATTTTGTGTCGGGGAGTCCTATCCGCCTGGAGAGTTGTGTGAAGGGACAAGGCGATGTGAGCTGGAGACATGGACAGGTACGAAAAAGTCACTGAAGTCAGTTATTAATCAGTGTAGCTTGAATGGAGCCTGATTAAGGTCATGTTATTAGTTCACCTTTAACCCAAGTTCTTCTGTATACAGGGAGAGTGGTGAGAAAGAAGTCAACCTGTGTGCTCACAGTGAGCACGCCTAACACGGTCCCATTGATACAATCACTGTAGGCGGCAATAAAGAAAACCTGCAAATCCAGAGAATTAATGCGCTGACATTGTCCAGATCATAACAAAATGTGCATCTTCATTAAATTAAAATCTCAAAATAGAATCCAGACATATCCTGAGGGGAAGCGTAAGCTGCAGCGTAACTGTATTAGGCAAACTCGGCACAGCATCATCGCTGCCTGTGCTGCTCGCGTTGGTAACCTGGAGTGTGTCTGCCATGTTGTCAGATCTTTCTACTGACCAAGCTGAACTTGCAGTACAAAGCTCAAAAAATGTGGCCTTTGCGTACAGATTTATAGGCGTCAACATGGTTTGACTTTTTAAAGACAAGCCCAAGTGGCCGGTGGAGAAACTGCAGGTTTTGCCAATCCGTGAGTCCCAGAGGATGTTATGATTCCAAGGATTTTGCAACAGAAACGGCCTTTTTGTTTTTTGTTGTTTTTCTTTATATTTTTCAAATTTCCCACGTGTGGGACTAATAAAGGTTATCTTATCTTATCTTATCTTTTTCTATTTCCATGGGAGTTTTGGTTCATCCATCATAATGTTTTTTTTTCTTTCGTGTTTTTGTTCAGGTTTTTTTGTTTTGTTTTGTTTTCATCAAAGACTTGCGTTCTACTTTATTTTACTTTTTTTCTTGTGGACCTGCCCTTAAATATTTGAAACCCTTGCACACACAGTTCCCTTTTTATTTTTAAAGCCTGTTTTTGAAACTTTTAACTGCCTCCTTTTTCATACATTAATTCAACATTAGGCATGCAGAAACCATACTTTGATCTTCTTTTGATACCCGGGCCAAAAGTCGTTATTTTAGAAGTTTTTAATAGTTTAATTTTCCCCATATAATTTTAATAGTTGATGTAATTGCACCCTTGATTTCATCAGGATCCTGGCACGCTTTATTAAAAGAAGTTGCTCTTTAATTTTGTCAGTGATGTGTTTCACTCTCCGCCCCGTACTTACTCAGAAGATTCATTATACTGTGGTCAGATTTCCCAGCATTCCCTGCATTGGGAGTTTTCTGTTAGCTTCGATAGTGTGGGCCAGTCCTTACATTGCTGAAGGTGGCAGGTGTACAGGTAGGAGTGATTTATTATAACGGCTATTTTCTTGCTGTGTCATCAGGCTGTCCAGGATGTAATAAGCATTATAGCGATCACCTATACTCCACAATGTAGATTTAAAAAGAAATCTAAAGGAAAGCGTAGTCTGGTGGTCCACAAATGTGCCTTTCAACTACAAAGTTGAGCGATTTTAGGTTTTTCCTAAGGGCACATTTATGAAATCGCTTAAGTAATTGGATTTTGTCAGCTAACGAGACATAAATGTCAAAAAAAATAGTGCCCGCATAGATGGAAAAGCTTCTTCATTATCTCTGCATTGTTCTAAAAGGACTCTGCACTCACACTTCACAGCGTAGATCTTAAAGCACAGCTCATAATACAAACTTAATGGATTGAATGTCCCCTTTTGTTTCCACAGCCAAAATACTGCGCCTCAGAGCTCTGACAGTTTAATTGCTTTAATCTGAAGATGCATTGTAGTTTAATTTGTGTCACAGTCTCAATCTGTATTCAGAGCCAGCACGAAATGCATTCGCTGCAGCTCACAGGTGGCCTCTCTGGCAACTGTCCTTGTCGGGGCTTTTCGATCCTGTACAGGAGGAGTGGAGCAAATCATTCAGACAGTGTTTGGGAGCCAGAGGGGCGACAGTCACCTGGACACAGATGGAGATTAAAAGTTTAATTTTGTATGTTTGGTTTTAAGTAAGCGCGAATTAGACTTTTTTTTTTTTTTTTTTTGGTCTGGATATGTCTGGAATCCAGAAATACTTCTACATTTACCAAATCAAAATGAGTCATTTGCTGGTTTTAATGAAACTAAATGCAAAAATCTAATATGAGTTGTTAGCCGAGACGTTTCAATTCATTGAACATATCAAGATTTATCATAATCGTTGATTTCACGGCTAAGGCAGCTTTGATATCAGCAGATTATGATATCAATCATTCTGATGAACTCATCGACATGTAGACAAATGGATAAGGATCATAAGAAGCTGCGTTAATCCATCACTGTCACAGAAAACAAACTAAGGGTCAAGAAAAAGAACAATTGATACAGCACACGTTGGTCTTTGTTTTTTAGGTTTAGAACCATGAATAAAAACTGTATGTAATTATGGATATACTCTGTATTCATAGATATAAGATAAATACAAAATTATTGAATCAAAAATAAAGCAGTTTTTACCAGAAGTCCCAACCGATTCTTATTCTTCACCGTCAAACCAGGTTGCCAAACCAGGCAGCGATACAAAAGAACATCACAGATTCAATAAAACTTCTATAAAACAAAGACAACATCTCAGATGAGACATTAAAAGATCTCGTTTTCCTTAAAAAGAAAAGTCTTTGTTGAACTTTTTTTTAGTAGTGGCATCAGCATGAGATTGAAAACACAGTTTATGGTCAAGTACCACACCTAGATATTTATAACTCTCAACTATCCCAGCTTTAATGATAATATGTGATGAGCTATCAGAGGACTTCCTAAAATCAATAATCATAGTTTTTTCCCCTCCTTTAGTTTAGTTTTAGACACATTAAGTGAAAAGAAGGACTCATCACACCAATTTACAAAATCATCTACAACCTGTCCATGGCCTGACTCGTCCCCCACTAGAAGACTGACGATCACTGTGTCGTCAGCAAACTTCAGGATGTATCTGTTCGTGAAATTACTGCGACACTCATTTGTGTACAGAATGAACAGAAATGAGTGTCAGCTATCAAATAAAACACAGTAAAATTCAGCAGTATTTTAAAAATTATTACTAATTTTCCCAATGACCTAAAGGCTACTCTAATAATAAAGTAGTAAAGTGTTGTTCTCATTTCAAGTAAAATAAGGCTTCTCCTTAAAAATAATAAGAGCTTGTCTTCAAATAGTGTTTAATTTAAAATAATGAACAGGTTTAGTTGGGGTTTCCCCTTTTCTTCATTGTTCTGAACTAAATTTTCTTTAAGCCTCCTTTCCCCGCCACCTGTTTCTCCTCTTCAGACTTCTGCAGCTCGTCCTCTGTTTCCTGTTTTCACGTGTGCTCTGAATAAAAGATTTGATTGACTGCTTAGAGAGTTACAAAGCCCGCAGTTGGGTCTGTGTTTCCTTTGTACATATACGTGACTATAGTAAAGACAAAGGAAAAGGCTGCACACATTAAAATAACCTTTGCAGAGAAAGATGGAAACAGTCTGTCAAAATCTAGTAATATGTCTGCGTCTGTGAAGAATGACGGGGAATCATAATAACAAAAGGTACACTATTGCTCATCTGTCAAAAACATGATACCTTGCTTAAGCACCTTCTATGACACCAGCAGTCCAGAGAGGAGGGTTTTGTAGCGATTTGATTATATTGTGGTCATAGACTGAACCTGACTCTTCTTTTACAAAACTGTGGTCTTCTTTCAGACCACATGCACTAAAATGCACCCAGTGTAGTGTATTATATTAGGACATTTTTCTGCATGCAGACATGTTTATGGGCTGGTTGACATGAGGACAAAGGATAAACATTTTCAGTAAACGGTTAAAAAAATATCTGCTGTGTACATAACTCTTTCATTTGGTTAGGTATAGATATGATATGTATATTATTATTATGTATTATTATTATTATATGTATTATTATTTTTTTTTTTTTTTTTTTTTTTTTTTTTTTTTTTTTTTTTTTTTTTTTTTTTTTTTTTTTTTTTTATTTTTTATATTGTATATATATATTTTATATATTATATATTATTTATATATATATTATATATATATTATATATATATATATATATATATATATCTATATATCTATCTATATATATATATCTATATATATCTCGAAGAATCCATAGGTCCCTCATCCGATGTAGCGGTTCCGAATGACAGCAATATCAGGAAGAAGGAACACGAGAAGCTGGAGAAATACCAAGGGCTCAGAGAAGAGCTCGAGAGGATGTGGAGGGTGAAGGTAACGGTGGTCCCCGTGGTAATCGGAGCACTAGGTGCGGTGACTCCCAAGCTAGGCGAGTGGCTCCAGCAGATCCCGGGAACAACATCGGAGATCTCTGTCCAGAAGAGCGCAGTCCTGGGAACAGCTAAGATACTGCGCAGGACCCTCAAGCTCCCAGGCCTCTGGTAGAGGACCCGAGCTTGAAGGATAAACCGCCCGCAGGGGCGTGCTGGGTGTTTTTTTATATATATATATATTATTATATATTTATTATATATATATATATATATATATATATAAATATAAATAAATAATGCAGTGCGAGTTGAAAAAATCTGCCTATTTAAAAGCTGCTCCCTTTTCACAAACGGGCACCACAGCAGGTAACTCCACGTGTTGGATTTGGCAGAGTCTTACACCAGATGCGTTTCCTGACATTTGTGTCTCCGGCTGGAATTGAACCAGCTACCTTTCGGTCATCAGTCAGATGTGTTACCCTCACTGGATATGGGGGAAAAATGGTGACTAAAGTGTAGTGAACTCTCCTGTCAGTGCTGCACTGCTTCCAGTACGGCTGCTATTTTTAGATTGCTCCCTGAAAGTCTGATTCACACTGAATGGACACAGACTGGCATTTGTATCGCACTTTTCTTCTCTTACTGACCATTCAGAGCACTTTGCACTGCAAGCCAATTTCACCCATAGCACTTCACACCTACAGCCAATCAGAGAATCACAAATTAACCTAACATGCATGTTGTTGGGTTTTGGGAGGAAGCCAGAGTAACCAGGAGAGAGGAGAACACAGGTTTCATACAGAAAACTCCAGAAACCGAGGTGTTCAAGTCTCCTCCTGTATAAAACAGGTCAGAAGTTCCCATCAATAATCAAAGGCCACAACTATGATAAACTTTTAGATTTTTATAAAATTCAATTCTGAACTCTACAGAAGCAAAACAGCACAAAGGAGCAAAAGCAGCTTAATAGGAAAGTGAAAGTTTCTTACAGTAGGTTATAAAAACGATTTCTCCCACATTGATATTTTAACCCTGTATCGCTCTTTTCAAAAGTTCTGACCTACAAAACAAACGATTCATTTCAAGTCCCCTGCAAGTCCCTTCACCCTGTGCTGAGAATTTTTCATGTCGCGTAAAGATCATCGCACTTCAAAAAAGGAAAAAATCATTACATTATATCTCCTGCAGGTGTTTACGTTTGGCTGGAGAGAGGACATTCGGGTGGGCGACCCCATGCACACGAAAAAAGTTTGCTTCGATGCCATTTCCCACAACAGCCCCGTCACCCTGTACGACTGCCACGGCATGAAAGGCAACCAGCTGTGGCGCTACAGAAAGGTATGACAGAGATGAAGCGGAGATCAGAGTCGGAGCCTTCGGCGTGGTTATGTGTAATGTTTGTGTGGTGAGCTCTTTCTCTGAGCCTTTTTGTTTTCCTCTTACAGTACAAAACAGCAAAATTGCAAATGTAATTGCTTCAGAATGAATGACTTCAAGAATGCTTAATCAGTTCCCAAAGCTTTGCACTTTTTAACCGAATCTACGGGGCTCATTATGTTGTTGTGCTTTTATGCTCGGCTATTACAAAGGGCCACGTTTCTATTTTTGTAACCATTGTGGGATTTAATGTAGCCACAAAGAAACATGCTGGCAGCAGTAAACAACACAAGTTGAAAGCGTTACTTGCAAACATTGGTTTAAAGTGGACCTGTTATACCCATTCCCAGCTCTGTATATTCATTATTTGATTCTATTAGAATATCTTTGCATGAGTTACTGTTTAACATGAGCTGAGTTTTAGTGCAGTCTTTATCCTCCACCACAAACAAGCCATTATAGTTCCTGTCCTCCACCCTTAACCCAAGATTATTCTCATTGGCCGTCCCTCACAAACAGAAGGTTTGAACAGTCGAGATATCCCCTCTCGCTGACATAAAACAGACGAGACATGAAAATGTTGAGCATTTAGAGCAATAGCTGTCAGGGAGTCATTGTTTCAAACACTGTCCATGTTTCAAATGAGCTTCCAAAGAGTTTCTCTTTGACGCAGCCCGTCATCTCCCTTGTTTCTCCCTCCAGGATAAGAGTCTGTATCACCCCGTCAGCAACAGCTGTATCGACAGCAGCCTGAACGAGCGGCGTGTCTTCATGAACACGTGTGACCCGTCCTCGCCCACTCAGCAGTGGCTATTTGAGAAAACCAACGCCACCGTGCTGGAGCACTTCAATCAGGGCGCCAAGTGAAGTCCTGCAGCATCCACGAGGAAGGACTCACGCAGAAGTGGAGCTGCTGCTGCTGCTATTGCGAACTGGGGTATTTCCCATTTACCTCGCAATGAGGTGACAGCTGTTTCTCTTTGGGGTGCTGGGAGTGAGGCAGGACGGCACGCAGAGGGGGTTAGTTAAACGCATTAGTGTGAGGGAAGATTGGGTTTGAGTTTGATTGATGGGATTTGTGTAAAAGTTACTCTGTGAGAGATGGGTGTGTTCTGTCGGGGTGCTGCTGTGGCAGTAGGTCTGTCTCACTTCCTGATTTTTATTTAATTTTTTTATCGTCTGCCATTCCTCTTTATTTCTTTTGCCCGTTTCAAATCTCCCTCTCTTCCCCTGTACTGTTTCCTCTCTGGGGGTTTGTTGTTTGCAGTTCTCTCTCCCTCTCTTTCTGTCCATCTACCTTTTATCCTCCAATCTCTCCTCCCTCGTTTCTCTCCCGGTCTGCCACTGCCTGCATGTCCGTCTCTATCTGCCTGCATGACTGCACCTTTGCCCACCTTTTTCATTCTCCCTCTCAAATATCCTTATGTCTCTCCAGCTCTGACAACCTCCCTGGGGGTAGATGAAGGGGGGGAGGGGCTCTTGCTGAGCCAAAGTCGTACTGACACCTGGGTGAAGCCAGGCAGAACCACTCTGAAAATCACCTGGTGAAGTGATTCTCCTTTACAACCTTCTGTTCCCTCCCTCATCCTTCCCCTCATGTGTGTAACTCCTGGTCTGCGGGCAGAGCTGCATTGAATGTAGTGGGTGAAAGTTGACAAAGACGGTCCAAGGAGATAAGACCTTTTGCACGTGCCTCACTTATTTGTTCCTTATTCTCTGCTTTCCTGTCTGTATTTATTGATTAGTCCTTCACAGATTTGTCACTGTGCCACGTTCTTCTTATATTCCTCAGAGGCGAGCGCTATCCGATGCCAGGGTATGTGCAGGCTGACTCCTGCTGGGTAATGGTGCAGTCAGACTAGATTTTGCTTTCTTCATAGAGGTCCTGCATCTCTTAAAATAGCCAATAAGAATGCAGGCTGTCTGAGGCCTACGCAGAGATAAAAGCGACAATGGCAAACAGAAGATCCAAGGTAAGGTCATCGCACTGCAACAAGGCTCCAACAAGTGCTTCCTGTGAGATCTCACCCTGGAGTGGGTCCATTTATTTGAGAATGCTTTGAGAAAAGCTCCTCAAAGCAGTGACCACTAAATCAGGAGGTATTTGTTCAGAATTTAGTTTTAAGGTTGCGTGGTTACTGCGGTTTGTTAGCTAAATAGCCGTGCTACTTCGCATCACTACGACGACTCCTCATTATTCATACTACATCTCATAGGATTTGCAGTATACAAGCAAGTGTGCTTTTTTGGCACTACGCACACAGCAAGATGTTTAAAGTTTGGAGCTCATTTGCCTGCTACATTCAACAGTGTGTACTTTGTTGGGGCTGTACCAAAAGCAAATGGAGAAAACAATATGCAATTATTATAATAATAATAATTATAATATGCACTGTAAGTTTTCCCAAGCCAAACTTCTGTCTGACTGCACCACGAGAGCTTCTTTGTCATTATTGTGGTGACAGTGGGAGTGGGAGTAGCTGTCACACCTCTTTGAGTTTCTCCTTTGCTTTCTGTGCGCTATTTGCCGCTTTCCACTCAGTCACTAAAGCAACCCGGTCACAGACGGCCAAGCAAGGGGTCTCGTCAAGGTGCGGAGCAGCAGGCAGCACCACAAATAGACCCCTGCGCGCCCGGATGGCTGGCCGTGTGACTGACAGGCCAGCTGATTCTCAGCAGGGCTGCCTGATTGGCCGGCCGCCATGCTGACACATCACTTTAGAGTACAGTGTGAGCGGGAGTAGAGACCAAAAGGGGAAATTATCCAGGATAGCCTCGCCAAGGTAGCGCTGGGATTGAGACTAACGTGTGTGTGTGTGTGTGTGTGTGTGTGTGAGAGGGGGGTTTAAAATGCATTAAGCACTTATGGAATGATAAACTTGAATGAAATCTTAGTGCCTTGTTAGAAGAGGACTAGATGTTGCTGTGTGTATTTGCAGAAAATGTGTGTGGCCTGAAATGTCCAGATGAAAATAGGGAACAATTCCTCAATTCAGGAAGTGACTTTGCTTGGATTTTTTTTATGCTGTAAAAGACTCCTCAAGTCTTTGAACTGATCATGAATTGACTTCTGGTGCAGGACCTTGAACGCACCACTGGCTTTGTGAACACACGTGTAACTGCTGGCTGTGAATAGAGCTAAAAAGACTGTTTTTTGTTGTTTTCCCAGCATATTTGCTCCTGCTGTCAAAGTAAACCACAACCCTAAGAAGACCTTTTGTTGTATTGAAATCATGATATGATGCTGTGTTGTTTTCCCACTTGTTCAATCCAGAATATTATAATGAGAGAGGAAATTGCTGTCTTTGTTTACCAGTGTCGCCATCCGCCTTTATAAATCCTTTTCTTCATTCTGTTTTTAATCAAATGTGCTTTCATCCTTTCTTTGATCCTGTGGTTTAGCTGATGGTGATTTTGCTTGAATCCCTGTTTGACACTATGTTTTGGGATGTTCTGGTCTGTCGCCTGCGCACATTCTCTAATCCCATTTTGTGAAGCAGAACAATGTTCAGTGTGTGCCATTTTAATCATCAGATCCAGGTATTGGGCTCTGGAAGATATTAACATGCAGTAGTAGACCAAAAGAAATGGTAATATTCACTATATATCACAATATTTCAGTATTTAAGTCAGATATTAGAAAATGTTGGGGAAAAATATATATTGAGCTCCTTGTTGTGTGCAGATTAAAACCTTTTCCAACACAAATGCAAAACGGATTTTATCACAATCAGTGCAAACAATGATTTGTTGTTTCCAATTCTGTCTTATCACATAAATTGTTCACACAAATGCTAACCAAGAACCTATATTTAGATAGCAGAGCTGGTAGATTTGCAATGAGATTATTGAGAGGTGAAGATAAATAACTATCACAAGTGTTTTCTAACCTGTTCGACTGTTAAGTTGTTAAAACCTGATCTACTTTTCAAAAAACCCTTCTTGAGTTACAGTAAATGGTTCATTTACCAGCATGTAACTGTTATTTATTAGCAGCAGGAGCGTACTAAATGTAAACCTTTTTGTTGTACACTGTACACTGTCAAATTGTTAAAAGATGACTTAGAATTATTGTTTCAGACCACCGAGTAAGATTACCAGCAGATGATCCAACAGGAACAATTTGTTATCCACTGTATATCCAGATATGATTTCTTTGAATTTCTTTTCTTTGACATCATACTAGAATTGATAATGGGCTGGGCTGTTGCTGGGATTGTTTGTTTGTTTGTTTTTTCTAAAGAATTGTCAATACGAACACTCTTTGTGGAAGTTTTATAGAAGGTGGGTACATAAGGCAACATTTTTGGTTCAAATGAGACTGTCGAAGTACTAAAAGTTACTTTATAGTTCTCTCTGAGAAAGTGTACTATTCTTTAATATTTCATCTTGTTTTTCTTCTCTCACATTTATCCTGCAGAACGAACAGTTTATTGCATCTGTTTTTCCTTGAGTCTGCCAAGCCCAACTGTCACATAAATCTTGGATAAAAAGAAGAAGATTATCATCATTACAGACTTTTGGCTGTGTTGTATAGAATTAGTAAGAAAAGTGTTTTAGGTAGCTGATGTGTTAGCTTGTGCTTTTTCAAAGATGTTTTAGGCATGAAGAGCTGTAGTAGGGCCAGAAAATCCCTTATTCCAATAAAACATCAGGGGCAGCAGGATCAAATGCAGTAGGACGAGCTGATTTTAGAGAAAATGTAGAACTTAGCTGTCAAATAGAACGCCATGATTAGTCAACTGGAAGGCCAGTGTTTAAACAGGTATCTGACAGTTTATTGACAGTAAATCATGATATAATTTGACCTGGAACGTGCTAAAATGCTTTATAGAATAGCCAAAGTCCTATTTTTAAGTAACAAAATATAAAATACAAAATTACAGCAAAAGTCTTATTTAGATGTCCTAATCTTCCCTGCAGAGTAATCTTCATGTTCCCCTTGCCTCAGCTGCGCAGAAAAGAAGCAGAGGTCATTGCTGGTATTTAGAGTTGAGTCTTTTGGGTCTCACAACCAGAATCGTCATTAACATGACTTCTTTTTTTTTCCCTTCAGGAAAATGTTTGGTAAAGCCCCAGTCACACAGGCCTGGATCCACCATGATTGAGATGTTGGTGCTATCACTAATAAATCTGAGGTTAAAATAACATTATCAGTATAACAAATTAAGCTATCTCACTACAGTCTAAACTCAGCTCTCTGTCCCTGTTGTTGAAAGAATAATCCCAAGCTTGGCATGTTTGCCTCGAGGGCAGGAAGACGAGGAGCACCTTTTGTGAATTTTTTTTTGACAGTTTAGTGAGTCGTCACAAAATGATGGGAACTGCATTCTGCAGATAGGATGATAGCACTGATAATCAGCTGTTCTGCAGGAAAGGATGGGGGAGGAAACGAGATGATGCCAAAATTGCGTTCATGCTCTTCATCTTTACTGTGTTTTGTACAAAGTGCATTAAATTAAAAATGAACTTAAATGGATCTGTGTCTCTGGGGAAATTTCACAGGATGTTGCCAACTGTATCCCTTCAATTATGTTTAATTGAATAAGCTTTTAAAAGTTTGGGTTTTTTTTCAATCAGAGTAATATGTACCTTTCCATTGCACATGTAAAGTTTGTTTTATTACATCAAAGGATAACTTGGGTTGAAGACTTTCAGGCACTGCTTTATTTCAGCTTTTATCCACTGTGGTAAAGTATTTAAGTAAAGAAAAACTTCCTTGCAGACACTAGGGATACAAATTTAGCAAATCGATTTCACTAGCACTTAACATAGATCGGTTCTCATTGGCACCGTTTTTAGAGTCGACACCATCACTAAGAAACATATCAAAGGAAAGGAATTGAACTACTGGGAACTGTTCCCTACAAGACCCGATCCTCAATTCCTGTCCCTAGCTGGCACCCATATAATGGTATAAACCACAGTTCAAGTACACAAACACTTCAAATGTAATACTTTTCCACAGCTGCTGGGATAGAGCAATCGTAAATGTGCTGAAACGTTTTATAACGTTAAGATCCAAATGCATTTTTACGTTTTTTTTTCCCACCTTCACATGTTCAGTCGAAAGTCTGTTGGGCAGAATAATCGTAATTTACAGGAGCAAATGTTTTTAATGTCAGTGGCCAACGTGGCCCATCACACAATGTTGTGTAGGTGTGTGAGCTTTGATGTGTAGGGAAGTGTACATTTTGTATCTCAAAAATATCCAATATTTTTTTTCTACTGACATTGCAACTGTAAAGGTGTATTTAGGTATTTAACAAACTGTACAATTAAACTGGAATTGTATGATATTTTTTTCTGAAAATTGTAAAATAAAAAGGTTTCTATATTTGGATGAACGTCTGTCTGTGCTTCTGGGACTTAATTTTTTTTAAAAAAATTCTCCATAGTTGAATAAAATAGTTATCATCAAATCAGTTATCACACACAAATGAAGTTATCATCAAATCAAGTCCTTTTATATAGTTTTATAATGGGGGGGGACTTATACTAGAAGCCTCTCGCCTCTAACCACCTCTTTAAGCCGGGAGTGTCACTGCGATCCTGCACCCAGGGCACTTCGGGCTTGGTCCAATCTCTTGGGTTGGGGTGACGATGTCTCCCCCCAGCATCGTCCTGACTCCCCCTTGCTGTAGCATGCATCTTTTTTACCCCCCCCCCCTTTCCTAACATCCAATCCATATAGCTTTCTCAGTTTTGCCCTCAGATGAGACGAAGACATTCTCAGTCTGTGTGAGGCAGTGACCAATCAGCGTCAGAGATGACAGAGCACCAGGTGGGCGAAAAGGCTGCTCATTCTAGTTGCGATCGTCTTCCCTAAATAACTTCAGCGTAAACGTCTGGTGCTCACAGCTTTCTAATTTCCTCCCCTTGTCACTTCTTGTTGTAGGTTCTGTATGGCTTTAATAGTTTCTCTGACTGATGGTGCAAAAACACACTTTCCACATGCGCTAATCCCATAATCATTTCCCCCAGCAACCCGCTAACTCTGATAGCTTTCAGGTTTCAGTGATTTATCCGTGGCTGGAGTGATATTGCTTTTGCAAGTTGGCCCATTTCTCCCAGAGTCTCCTGGGATGTGTCGTAACTCAAAACTTTTCATGTTGGCTGAGAAGGACTGAGAACGTTCTGGTTTGGTAAGAACACTTATAGTGTCCGTGTTATGGGAGCTTTCATGTAATTGCACAGTCACAACACTCGAGCAGCAACATGCTGATCAAAGGACTGGTTTTAGGTTTCTGAGAGTAAAAAAAGAGAAAAAAAAGTTTCAGTGATGATGCAATGTATTCAGGGTGTGCAAACCAGACTGATGTTATCTGCATACTAATTGTTTTCATATTCATATTTATTTCCAGTTAATTAGCAAATAATCAACATTCCCTGAGACTCGGGAGCTGTAACTGGGACAGATCAGGCTATTACATTAGCACAGTGTTCCTCTAAACATATCCATTAAGTTTCTTTATTGGGCTCAGCACCATTATAAAAAGAAAAACACAATCCAATTGTCTCCCATAATTCACTAATACCCCCTCTCTCTGTGCTGCTTGCTCTCTGGGCCAACAGCTCCTTCAGATTACACAACAAAATGGGAAGACGTTTCAATGACAGAGTGTCACGGTTTTGATTCCACGCATCTTCAAAGAGTACAGAGGGTTTGTCACATTGAACTGCACAATTATATGGGGGTGTGGGGAATATGGTTGCCTTTTGTTTTGCAATTTCTTGTCTCACGTCATTTTGTTCCATCCCACGCTGACAAGAAAAGTTTCGGATGGAGGAGGAAGGCTGTCTCACACATGAAGGCTTAAATTGCAACTACCTTTAAATACAGCAATGCAAGGGTGGCCACATCATATTGCATCTGGCATTGCTGTGAAGCAGTGCTGGGTTATCTCATTAATTCATCTAAATGCAGATGACAACATAGTCCAAATACATACTGAGTTGTAATGACAGTGATGCCATGTGGTCTTAAGGCTTAGCCAAGTATGGGTTCGCAAAATAAACTAAATGTCATATCAAATATATAATGTACTTCATTTGATGCCCTGGGAATACAAATGGACAGCCATTTAAGAAATTGCATTAAAACTTTGTAAGTAAATTTGAACCTTTGGTAATGCAAATTCTGTAATATCTGTACAAACTGCATTATGTATGTGTAGCATCCCTCTTCATCCACAGCATTTTGTTCTGTATCACAGGCGTATAACCTGCAGCATCAATTACACCCAGGTTTCATAGTTCTCAAAGCATAGTTTTATGCATATGAACATGGGGCGTCCTTGCTAATGGGAAAGTTACACAGCTGTTGAAAAAGAGACACACCCACGCACATCTACACATCTGCCAATAAATCTGTTATTCCTGTAGGAAAATGGGGGGAAAAAAACATGTTGACAAATTCTTTGGTCATGCCTATCATAACACATTTTTCCCTGCAGCAAAATGTGAAGAAGGCATCATCGCCTCACATAAAATAATATAAGAGATGGGAAGAAACGAAAAAAACAAAAGCAAAACGTACACACGCCACCGCATGAACAAATATAATAAAAAGGAAGAACAAGGGACTAAATAACATTGTGTTTGTTTCCCATGGCGTCGCCCTTCTTCTCTCTCTCAGCTATCAGCCCTTTGCCCCTCAGTCTTATTATCTCGGTCTTGGGTCAGTGAAGGATAATACAACTCCAGCCTGAGAGATAATACATCTCCGGTCAGACCTCACTTCAAAGCAAACTAACAAGCTCCACAGACAGACACACTTAGCTGGTCCATGAAATTCAAAACGATACAGAGCTTGGGCTGAAGCGGCGCCCGTCATCGATTGATTCATTGTTAGTGGGAGCGTCTGTGGGGAAAAAACAGAGGTGCAAATTCACTGTCGGGAGGCAGAAGGAACTTAAATGTGGGATAGGGTTCTTGCCTGTGCTCTCCTTCTCCACAACTCAAACAAAAAGCAAATGAAGAACAATAGTGCAGACTTAACACTTCGCCACAATGTAGTTCTGCTTAACTCCAAACCACTAACATCTGTGTGTGTTCCTAAGAGTAGAGAGTAACTGATGCTAGCTGTTATGCAGGTGCTGTTTTGGATGTTGAACATCAGAGCAAAGCTTTTTAGTACTCTCCAGCTCTCCGTTTTTGCTTTTCTTCTCAGTTCTCAGACATTTGCTTAAAGCAGCTTCTTTCCTTATATTTTCTTAGTTCGGCCTATAGACTACAGTAAAAACAACAACAGCATACTGTGAAATGTGTCCATTTCTCTGTGCTCTACAAGTCTTTGGTGTTGCTTTGGTGACACCAGCTTAACCCTTCCCTCATGTCTCGATTCTGAACATTATTAGAAACATCTTCAATGAAAAATAAGCTATAAATTTGTAGAAGAATACATCATGTCAGTAGCTGTCGCTGGTAGATGTCTGCTTATATAAGTGCTGCAATGCACGGGGAGTTTGGGCTTGGTGGTAGGGGGTCAGCCACGTCCCATGGATAAACCTCTGGGACCGCTAGATCAACTCTCACTTGTGGTTCCAAGATGTTGCTTGTGCACAGCAGCAGCCACACCTCAGTAAGCTACTATTTTGGTTAAGTTGTCCACATCTTCTGCTTAAGCCCAGTTAAATACAGTAGACAGATGCATGAGTATATAGTGAGACCCATGCATGCGTCTGCCAGGAGGAAGTTTCTCTTTTCAAAGATTACTTAGAAAGGGAATCAAACATAAATAGCACAAAGTTTCTCTTTTCAATCACAACTTCTTACCTTTGCTGGTAAGGAGAGATTGCTAGAGATTTCAGAAAGTCACTGAATCAAAAAGAGGTGTGCAAGTACAACAAAATGTCTTTCTCTGACACCAAACTCGAGGTGATGGAGCTGTAACGGCAAGTTACATTTTTATGTGCGGCCAGACTCGTGGATGAATGAAGGCGATGTATGATCCTGGCAAACATGAACACGGGTGTTTTGCTTTTCTCTGTTTTAAATGAAACTTTATCCTTTGATTTTACATCAAATAGTCTTTATCTAAAACTAAGTGTTATAAGTAGAGCAGGGCAATATGGCCAAAAATATTTATCACGATATATATTTGAAAATTTGCGATAACGATATAACCGACGATATAATTGATGCGAGACAAAATACAACTCCACAACATTACTAGCGCAAAAAGACAACCTTCCATTTATTTTCACTTAAACAAGAAGCTGGTTTTTATGTACATTAAAGCTTTATAAAAATGTAACAGTGCAAATGCAAATTCCTTGCTGAAAGTTTAACCAAAAGGCATTTCCAGTAGAAATGGGCTGACATATCCTGAGCATAACCATGTATAATATCCACTGAAGTTAAAAAGAGGTGCTTTGCAACATTAAACTGCAGTGTGCAGTACGTATTTTTCGGACCATAAGGTGCACGGGATTATAAGGCACATTAAGCGAAACAAAGCAGTCAGATAAATCAAACTTTATTAAACTCATTCTTCTTGCTTCCTCCACTTCTGTACCATTGATTCATTAATGTTGAATTCTCTGGCAGCTGCTCTATGTTGCTGCAGTATATTAATGACTAACCTCGTATTGTGGATGGATTATCTCAGTTGTTCTCCTGACTGAAGTTTGGTCCGTTTACAGCATCCTGCCATGCGATTGCATTTGTCTCTAACCATGAAGAACCTTCACGTTAACTTTTATAAGTGGAAAAGTGTTAGTGTTCATCCTCCAGCTTCACTGTTTATGTTATGCTAACATAGCTGTGTCGCTAGCGATCACGTAGCACATCATTATATACCAGCTAGCCCAACTTCAGTAACCCTACAAACGTCACTGCTGTTTAGTTTCCTGTCTTCATTTATGTTGGAAGTGATAGCAGAGCTGTATGTTTGATTTTTTTTCAGAAATCTCTCAGTCAGAACATGCAATATCATGCTTAGGTAACTAGCGAAACTAGCGAGCTAACTTCCGCTAGCTTCCTGCTAACTTCTAACTCCGTTAAATGTAATAACTTTTGTTTTCATGGATGCCTGGAAGTTAAACTTTATAGTTACACCTGGTAAAGCAGCAATGCTGATCGTTTTATTAAAGATGAAAGAATTGAGACAGTTTTTAACTCTCAGTGATGCTGCAGTGTTGTTTGACCTGAAGCATACGGAGTTTAGGACCCAGATTACTCCCAGATTTAAGAGCATTTTAGTCCGACAAATATGACAATAACAACGGCCGCTTGCATGTTCTGCAAAAAAATGTGCTTTGTTGTGTATCTGACGGACAAACACCAAACCAGTTCCACATCACGGAAGTTGCACCATTTTTACAAACCAATTCTGGTTCA